TATTATTAGATGTAATTATAAACTATTCTTAGAGAAAAATAATATACTTAAAAATAAAAGAAAGCAAGCCACACTGAAATAACACAAAGAAATACAAAATATGAAATAGAATTTAATTAGAAAATAAACTGATAAATTCTAATACAAGTTGTAAGCATTTGAAAAATAAAATATTTAGAATGGATAGAAAATAGTTTATTATTTCTAGAAACACAGAGATGTAAAATCTTCATACTGAAAATGTACACAGAGAAGTGAATAATATACATTTTAAAAAGGAAAATACACTCTGAGAGGAAAACCAATTAATTGCATAATATTTTATGATAATGTGAAATATTAAAAGAAACAAGAGTATATTCAGATTACTTGTAAAGGAAGGAAGATTAAATTGACAAAAAAAGCCATAGCCGCAGATATATGTACATGAAAACAAAGAGCAGCCGGCACCGCGGCTCACTAGGCTAATCCTCTGCCTTGCGGCGCCGGCACACCGGGTTCTAGTCCTGGTTGGGACGCTGGATTCTGTCCTGGTTGCCCCTCTTCCAGGCCAGCTCTCTGCTGTGGCCAGGGAGTGCAGTGGAGGATGGCCCAGGTCCTTGGGACCTGCACCCCATGGGAGACCAGGAGAAGCACCTTGCTCTTCGCTTCGGATCAGCACGGCGCGCCGGCCGCAGCGGCCAATGGAGGGTAAACCAACGGCAAAGGAAGATTTTCTCTCTGTCTCTCTCTCTCACTGTCCACTCTGCCTGTTAAAATAAATAAATAAATTAATTAAAAAAAGAAAACAAAAAGCTAAAGAGACCTTACTCTTCACTTAGAATTCTGTTCCCGGTTAAACCAGCATTTGCGAGTGATTGTGTAGTAAAGATACACAGAACTAAGATAGATTACTTCTATAGATCATCACTGAAGAAATGATTGAAGATGTGGGTGAAATGTATGGAGTAGCAGAGGGAAACTAAATGCATAAAGTAAATCTCAAGCTTAAACATTTATTTACTGTAAGAGTAAAAACAGGAGTAACATGGACAAATTTAGATTAGAAAAGAAGATTTTAAATAATATGAAATGAAATGAGTGTGCCAAGGAGTTAAGGGTACAACCAGATTGTATTGTAGTCTTTGTCTTTTTGTATATGTTTTATTAAAATATACATATATTTCTATCAGTAAATATTTGTATAAAATGCAAAGCCTCAAATGTACATTGATTTATGATAATGATAATTTCTGGATGTTGGGAAGAGCAGAAGAATTAAAGAATATTTCAATTTCTTCCACAGTGTTTTATTTCTTTACAAAATAGAACATATGTAGCAAATAAGGCATAATTTGGGGAGTAGCAAAGTGTGTTTTCTTGTATTTTGAATTTTCTGTATATTTAAAAGCTTCATTTTTTTATTTGAAAGGCAGAGAGAGAGAGAAAAAGAGAGACAGAGAGATCTTTCATCTGCTGATTTACTCCCCAAATGACCTCAACAGATTGGTCTGGGCCAGGCTGAAGCCAGGAATCAAGAATTCCATCCTGGTCTCCACATGTGTAGCAAGGTACCAAGTATGTTAGTGACCTCCACTGCCTTCCCAGGTATGTTAGCAGAAAGCTGGATTAGAAGCAGAGTAGCTAGATCTCAAACTGGCACTAGACAGCTTAACATTTGGTACCACAATGCTGGCCTCATGGAAATATTTATTTATTTTAAATTCTCTCTCTCTTCTTTTTTAAATGGAAAATCAGTAAGCTATGTTAACATTTTTATTGCTGTGTAAATATCTGCTTGCAGAATCAGGTATTGTTATTTCCTTATTTGTATATTTCTTAGTTGTTTTTACCAGTAAGACTTTAAAAATATTTTAATGTAATATTGATGTGAAAGGAACAGATTTAATGTAGCTCATAGATACAATTCTTTATTTTATTTTATTTTATTTTATTTTATTTTATTTTTTTTTTTTTTGACAGGCAGAGTGGACAGTGAGAGAGAGACAGAGACAGAGAGAAAGGTCTTCTTCCTTTGCCGCAGCGGCCGGCACACCGCACTGATTTGATGGCAGGAGCCAGGTGCTTCTGGTCTCCCATGGGGTGCAGGGCCCAAGCACTTGGGCCATCCTCCACTGCACTCCCTGGCCACAGCAGAGAGCTGGCATGGAAGAGGGGCAACCGGGACAGAATCTGGTGCCCCAACCGGGACTAGAACCCGGTGTGCCGGTACCACAAGGCAGAGGATTAGCCTAGTGAGCCGTGGCGCCGGCCCATAGATAAAATTCTAAAAATATAATACTTCCCTCCATCCTCCTTCCCTTTTTTTTTTCATTTCTTTGCATTGTAATCAAAAGATTAATGCTCCACATAGTAAAGAGTTCAACAATTAAATAATAAAGGCCAATAATCAAGTGAAAATATGTCTATTTCACTCATATACACTATTCTTTAAACATTTTATTTAAAGTATGTATGCAAATTTCATGCATTTCACATATACAGACTTAGGAACATTATATCACAGAGCATTAAAAATATAGTAGTATATCACTCCTAACTCTTTGGCAATAATATAAAACAAAGTTTGATCAAGCTATATTTGCAGCAACACTGATACACACAGGCATTTCTGTCTTTATTTTGTTTTTGTTTTTTGATTTTTTCTAAATTAGCTCCTACATATAAAGCAGACCATGTAGCATTTATCTTTCTGTGTCCAACTTTATGCCCCCAGTTGCAACCACTTTGATATAAATCTTAGAATTTTGTTATTTTTTATAGCTGAATAATATTCCATTGTGTATGTGTCAAAATTTTTTTATCCATTCATCCGATTAAGGACACCTTGGTTGTTTCCAGTGCTGCTATAAACATGCTAGTGCAGAAATCTCTTTGTTACAATGTGTTCATGTCTTTCAGGTATCTGTGGGTAGTGGGATTGCTGGATTATATGGCAAGTATAGTTCTAGTTTTTAAAGATACCTCAATACTGTTTTCCACAGTGGGTATATTATTTACGTTCCCACAAACAGTGTTTAGAGTTCTCCCTTCTCCACATCCTCACCAGCATTTGTTATTTTCTGTCTTTTAGACAATAGCTGTTATGACACAGGTGAGGTGATATCTCATCATGGTTTTGATATGCATTTCTTTTGTATTTATTTTGATTTTTGTTTGTTTTAAGATGCAGCTAAAGTAGTGCTTAAAATAACATGTGTATGTTTATTAATAATCAATGCATATTATTGTGCCTTTTTATGGGGGTACAGTGTTGTATTTCAGTACATGAATATAACATATAACAAACAGATTAATTAGCATATCTGTCACCTTAAACATTTATCATTTGTTTTGGGAACATCACCCCATTGTGCTGTAGAATATTAGAAGTTACAGTTACTATCCAACCATTGTACACATCAATCATCCTCCCTCCATTGCCTTCTCCTCTTTCCAGCTTCTGGTAACCACTATTCTACTCTATTTCTATGAGATCAACTTTTTAAGCTTTCACATGTAAGTGGGAACGTGCAGTAATTTTCTTTCTGTGCCTGACTTGTTTCACTTAACGCAGTGTCCTCCAAGCTCATCTGTGTTGCTGCAAATGACAGGATGGCATTTTTTTTTTTAAGTCTGACTGTTCCTCCATTGTGCATATATAGCCACATGCTCTTTCTTCATTCATCTATCAGTGGGACACATGGGTTGATTCCATACTCTGGCCATCATGAATAGTACTTTATTAAGCCTGGAAATACAGGTATCTCTTTGACATACTTGTTTCCTTTCTTTTGGATACACACCCATGGGACTGCTGGATTGTATGATAGTTGTATTTCTAGTTTTTATGAGGGAACTCCATATTGTTTTCCAAAGGGCTGCACAAATTTATATTCCCATCAATAGTATATGAGAGTTCCCCCTTTTCTGCATCCTCACATTTGTTGTTTTGTCTTTTTGTTAGCAGCCATCCTACCTGGAGTGAGATAATATTTGATTGTGGTTTTGATGTTTTCCTTTCCTTAATGATTCATGTAGTTGAGCAGTGTTTCATATACTTGTTGACCATTTGTTTATCTTCGTTTGAGACATGTCTACTCAGCTCATTTGTCCATTTTTTAATTGCATTTTGGCTTGGAGCTGTTGGGTTGAGTTATTTATCCTTGTCAGTTAAATAGCTTGCAAATATTTTCTCACATCCTATTTCTTTTCTTTTTTTCATGATCTATAATTCTGTTTTTAATTCTCTTAAGTCTTGTGATCACATATTTTAGAGGTTTTGTGCTGATGGTATCTCCTCTACCTTAGTCCTTCCATTGAGCTGGCAAAAGCACCATTACTAAACACAAACATACAGTAGCTCCTCAGTGTTATGTGTTTCCAAATGGCTGCTTATAGACAATCCTGAATTTTAACTTAGTCCAAGGTAGTAAAGAATTCAACAGCAAGTGTAACTTGTTACTCCACCTGGTCATGCTGACGTTCAAAGCACCTGACCTTACAGATCATCTATAAAATGTGAGAAGTGTTAAATATTCTTTATTTGATATGCATAAACCACACTAAAATGCCTTTCAGTAAGTAAAAGGTAGAAGTTTAGATACAGGAAATTCTAATGAGATTGCCACAGCTAAGACCAAAAATACGAAGTAGACGTTTCCAAATGTCTTCAGCTCTTGCCTTGGGCAGATAAAGAACAAGTGAATCTTGTTCAGTTCTGAGGCAGTGAGGCAATTTCCTCAGCATTTAAATCTAAATCCAATCTCCCAGCAGGTTTTGGGATGGCATTGACAAGTTTTTAGTTAAGTCCAATCATATCCTTAGAAGGCGAAAACAGCGAGGGCATTCACTGAACTGGAATTACTACCAAAATTTCCTTTGTAACCACACAAGGCAATATTAGACTGTCGGACAAAAATATTCTGTCTGCCATTCATGATCTGAATTCTGGTGTATGATAATTGAATTATGGTGCACATAAAAAAAGTCACGGGACATTGCTGTTTTGTAATAAATAAGGCAGTGGCCAGTTATTACTCATTCATAGCTTTTTTTAGATAAGCTATCAAGTCTGCCCTTTCATTCTTCTTCTTAATGCCAGCGAAGATCATTTTGGTTCCAGGGATGTATTTCTTGGGATTCTCCAAATACTCCATCAGCGTGTCCTCTCCCCAGGTGATGCCTTTGTTCTTGTTGGCGTCTGTGTGGGAGAATCCAACGGCCTGACCTGTCTTCCGCCCGAACAGACCATGGAGATTTGGTCCAGTCTTGTGCTTGCCTCCCTTTTCCACAGTGTGGCACTGGGCACATTTCTGAACAAAAATCTTCTTGCCTTTCTCAACATCACCCATTTTTAACTCGCTCGTTAGTAGCTCGCACACTGGGAAGCTGGACGTCCACTCTCTAACTCTCACATCCTATTTCTGTGAAGAATGTCATTGGTATGTGACAGGGATTGCATGGAGTCTATAGACTATTTTGAGTACTGTGGACACTTAAAAATATTAGTTCTTCAAATGCATGACCATGGGATGACTTTCTACTTTTTAGTGTTCTCTTTGATTTCTTTCACCTCCATGTTTCAGTTTATTGCAGGGTATTTTCCAGTTTTTATAACTGTTATTGTATGTGGGATTGCTTTCTTGATTTCTTTACCTCTTGATTTGTTACTGGTATATTGAAATGCTAATGATTTTTGTAAGTTGACCTTTTATCCTACATTTTTACTGATTTCATTTGTCAGTAATAACCTTTTTTTGTTTGTTTTTGCTTTTAGGTGGAGGTTTTAGTTTTCTATATGTAAGTTTATATCAACTGTAAATAGGGAACTTCCTCCTTAGATGCCCTTATTTCTTTTTCTTGCTTAATTGCTTTGGGTCATTCTCCAAAATAGTACATTGATAAGAATTAAAAGGATCCATTGACTGGTCAGGAGCATGTAGTTTAATTTCCATAAATTTGTATAATTTCCACAGTCCCTCTGGTTGGTTACTAATTTTGTTCTATTGTGGTCTGAGAAAATATGATTTTGATTTTTAAAAATCAGTTGAGGCTTGTTTTGTGGCTTAATGTTGGGTGAGTTCTGGAGAATGTTCCACATGCTGATTTTTCCATTCTGTTTTCTGTCGTACCTTTGATAACCAGATCCCTTTTTCCACTGGCCCCTTTGACCCTTATGTGACAATCAGCACTCTGGGACTGTCACCTAAATATTCATTTCCTTCTCTGCTGTTTTGCATCCCAAGCAAATGTGTGCAGAATATACATTTTTGAGTTTAAAAATATCAAAAAAGTCTACATACTATTTTTGATAACTGTTTACTGATAGTAACAGAAGAATTCAACAGAAAGAAGTGGGAGGTGTCTTATGAAGACAATTGAAGGATGTGACATCCATTTGTCTTTTATGGAAATCTTTCATTCCATTTGCTACAATGCAGCATACAACATGAAGCATTTTAAAAATGCCTGAGGTACCTTTTGTTGTATTGGGGGGAGAGTCAGGAAATAAACCAGATACATTCAGTAGATTATAAGTATGGTCTCCCGAAGCAAAACTGACTAACTAGAGTTGTGTTATTAATTATATACTTTCTGGTCTTTGTGTTCTGCTTGTATTTGCAGAAACTTCCTTCAAGATAGATCAGCATTTCCTGGAAGACCTACTGTAAATCTTTGCTTTCCTCCAGCCACTTTGCTGCTGCCCTTTTTAACTCCCATCCTTTCATAGAAAATAGAAACCTTTATTTTTGGACATTACACTCACTATTCAGTTTCAGGCCAAATTTTTTTTTTTCTTGCAGTTACTTAAGTTAAACCTTTGCCACTATTTTTTGTATTTGCCTCCTGATAATTTACAATTCTGCTCCTGACATCATCACTCATGTACTCTAAGTTCCCATTAAGCTCACCCATTTACTCAATAAGTTGTGTAGGCAATTATTCATTCTCAGACTGATATTAGGAAAGGTATTAGATAATGGGGACTGAGGGATGCTGCAGAAATAAACTTTCCGGAAATAGCAGTGGCTTATGACAAGAAGGGTTGTTTTTCTCTCATGCAACATGCACTTTCTGGGCCTTTGGCAACTCTGTCCCAGGGCTGTGCTCTGCACTTTCTCTGTCTCTGACACACACTATAGTAAGAGCCCCCATCCAAGACATTGCTGATTTTAGCTTTGAGATATAAAATAGAACACAGAACCTTAAAATTGTGCTTAGAATTTCTTCTTGGCATTGGCCATACTGTTCCCACTTCTTTGGCCAAATCAAGACATAAGGCAACAGCTGTTGTTTACAACTGGCAATGGATAATTCACCCAGAGGGAGTAGTAGCAAATATTACTGAAAAATAACCCAGTAATTTCAGCTATTGACATGCACATGGATGCATTTCTATATAATTTCTCTCACAACACAAATATTTTGATAAGATGTAAGTCTTCTTTTTTCTGATTTTACTCGTTTTCTCACTCTAGTAAAATAAACCCTCCTGCTGTTGATCTGAAATATTTTCACATAAGTGTCCTCTTCTTACAACAGTTAACCTGATCACTGTCAGCATTAGAAGAATTAATTGTCTCCCATCTGGTCCATCTAACATCAGTCTTATGACCCTTTGCATCCATCCTCCACATAACCACACAACAATCATGCCCATCACCTACTGAATGTCTGACCTCATGTGGGCATATGAGGACCTTCCTAATGTGAACTCCGTCTCCTCTCTACCTCATCCTTCCCTATCCTCTGCCTCGTAGTAGTGTTCTGTGAAAAGGCTTCTCACGGCCATTCATTTGTTTAATTCCTACTCATTTTATGAGACATCGCAAGCATCATTTTCCTTGGAAAACCCTGTCTAAAGATCCCAGGCTCTTGAAGATCCTGCAATACAAGGCATATGTCATGAGTGTTCCACTTATAGTATCTGTGATAATTATTTTAGGGTTTTTATTTATTGCCATGTGAGAGGCATAGAGATATAACTATGTAGAAATATATTGTCTGACTGCAGATTTATTCCCCAAATGTTTTCAGACAGATGGAGCTGTGCCAGATTGAAGTCAGGAATCCTGAACTCTTTATGGGTCTCCCTGGTTGGTGCAGGGACAGAAGTAGTACTTGAGCCATAACCTGCTGCCTCAAAGGGTGCACAATAGCAGGAAATTGGAAATGAGGACAGAGGAAGACCTCAAATCCAGCACTAGGATCTGGAGCTGCAGGCATCCAAAGCAGCGTCTTAACTATGGTGGCTAACTCCTGCCCTTGTGAAATTATTTTATCTGCCTGTCTTTTACAGAAATATTAATTCTTTAGAGTCATAATTTGAATTTTACTCATCTTTGTGTACCTTGAAACAGAAACTGTGTTTTCACAATTTTTGTGCAATCACATACATTGCAATATTAGTACATAAAACATGCGTGCTAATTTTGCTTAATAAACAAATGTACTTAAGCCAAGAAAGACATTCTATTTTTCAGACCCAGACATCTGTTCTAGCTTTGGAGTAAGGACTTATTTTTACACCTGGATTTAATGAGTTATAATAAAGATAGTGGCTTCTGTAGTTTTGTTTGGAGAAGTTGGAGCAATTAGATGTACATTGACATCATTACCTCCTTTCATTTTCCCCTCATAAGCAAAGTTGCGACCAGTAGATTTAAATATATTCAATGTGGATTTGCTTATATATTAAACTCTCCCATGGATTCTGTTTGTTAGTGACCTAAACATTTCTCTTGGGGCTCAAGAATCCTTGGTATTGGAATGAATAGGTATTGCAGTCCTGTTTAAAAATCCTTAACATTGATATAATCACAAGAAGAATAGCTATAAATTTACATGTAAGGCAAAAATTCATCTCTGGTGGGGATGCTACATATTACATTACAACTCTTCTATTCAGTGAAACAGAGAAAATGGCAAGGATTGATCTTCTAAAAAAATGTTGTACTCCAATTCTAAGTAGCAATGATTCTTATATAGATGATTTGTTTTCTCTGGAGAAAGTGATTTTCTAGTCATCATGGTACACAACCATTTTATTATCTGAATTTGCATCAAAAATTAAGGATAAGGACAAAAATGTAAAAATACTTTCTTGAGACTAGCACAGTGGCATAGCAGGCTAGGTCACAACCTGCAGCACCAACATCCCATATGGCTAATGGTTTGAGTCCCAGCTGCTGCACTTCCTATCCAGCTCCCTGCTAATGTGCTAGGAAAAGCAGTGGAAGATGGCTTGGTTTCATTCCACTCACTTGGGAGACCTACTTGAACATCGTGTCTCCTAGTTTTGGCCTGGCCTAGTCCTGGCCATTGTAGCCATTTTGGGAGTGAACCAGCAGATGGGGGATTTCTCTCTCTGCTTCTCCCTTCCTCCCTCCCTCCTTAGATCTCTGTCTCTAATTCTGCATAAATAAATCTTTTAAAAATACTTGCTTATAAATATGTCCAATTGGAAGAGCATAACGCTTTCTATATAAACTTACTATTTAAAATCATTAGTAATGCACTAAACAAGCATTTTTATGAGTCAAAGATTAGTTTGAGTTCACATGTGATTTGATGATGGATAAGAATATTCTGATTGTTTTCATTTAAAATATTGATCTCTATACTTATGCAACAATATTTTAAGGTTTTATTTATTTGAAAGAGAGAGGAGGGAGGAGGGAGGGAGGGAGAGAGAGAGAGAGAGAGAGAGAGAGAGAGAAAGATTCCATCCCTTGATTCACTTTTCAAATTTCTGCAACAGCCAAACATCTAGGGCTGAGCCAGATTGAAGCTAGGGACCAAAACTCTCTTTGAATCTTTCATGTGAGTGTCAGGGACCCAAGTACTTGAGCCACCACTTGCTGCCTCCTAGGGTGCACGTTAATAGTTGATTGGAAGTAGAGATGAACTCAAACACAGGCAGTCAGATATGGAATGTGGGCATCCCAAGAGGTAGCTTAACTGCTATACCACAATATCTGCCTGTAGAATTTCTTGAATTATATTGTTTTCATCTTCTAATATACTACCTATGCATGACTAATAGCCTAGTGATTTTATTTTCACTTACTTAATAAAACATTTTTGAGCTCTATTATAAATGACAGTCACGTGTCAATGAACAAAACCAGTCTCTGCTCTTACAGAGCATGTTTCCGATGTTTCCCAGAGAGGGAAACATATGATAAACAAATTGATGGGACATTTACCATACTGATTAGTGGCATTAGAAAAATAAGGCATGTTTCCTGGAGAGGCAGCATTTTCACAAGTGCTGAGTAAAATGGAGTGTGCCATGATGACAATTGGAAACATAGCTTCCAGACTGAACACACAGGGTGCAACATGGCCCTGTGTCATGTGTAGTGGGTGTACAAGAGTATGATAGAAGAGTCCAGGCATTGAGGGTCTTCTAGCTCATGACAGGAGTTTTATTTTCTGTTCTAAGTGAAAAAGATAAGCCAAGAAAAGATTTCAAAAAGAAGAACAACCTTTAAAAGCAGGACATTAGCATTTGTGTGGGAAACACACTACTAGTAGAGATTTGCATTGATTGACACAGGTTAAGAAACAGCACTTGATCTGCACTGCAGAAGCTCTTCTAATGACCCCTCTCAGCACTCAAAGTTATAAAACGTTCAAACTCGTTTAAAAAATGCATAAAATACATAAAACTGTTCATTAAAACATTCATCAATATTTCTTTAATAATTGGGTAAAAAGTGAGATATGGTACTGAAGTAAGTGAATTTTTTTCTATTATAATCAGTGATGTTGACTCAACTAGGGATTGGATTAAAAGAAAAATTTTTGAGGGGCTCGTGCTGTGGCACTTTAAGGTAAGCCTTCATCTGTGGTGCCAATATCCCATATGGGTGCTGGTTTGTGTCCTAGCTACTTCTCTTCTGATCCAGCTCTGTACTTATGACCTGGGAAAGCAGTGGAAGATGGCCCAAGTGCTTGGGCCCCTGCACCCACATGGGAGCTCCAGAAGAAGCTGCTGGTTCCTGGCTTTGGATTGGCCCAGCTCCAGCTATTGCAGCCCTTTGGGAAGTGAACCAGCAGATGGAAGACCTTTGTCTCTCACTCTCTTTGTAACTCTACTTTTCAAATAAATAAATAAATAAAATCTTTAAAAAATTTAAAAAAGAAAAAATTCTCCACTGATTTCTAAATATAAAAGAATATAAAATAAAAATGAGAAATTGTTACATATATAGTACATATTAGGATATTATAGTTAATGATAGAATAGTAGTTTATCTGTCATATAATATTTCCCAGTTCCCATTATGTTTTTTTTGTTTTGTTTGTGTGTGTGTGTGTCTGTGTGTGTTTGGACAGGCAGAGTTAGACAGTGAGACAGTGAGACAGAGAGACAGAGAGAAAGGTCTTCCTTTTCCGTTGGTTCACTCCCCAAAATGACCACTACGCTGGCGCACTGTGTCAATCCAAAGCCAGGAGCCAGGTGCTTTCTCCTGGTCCCCCATGCAGGTGCAGGGCCCAAGGACTTGGGCCATCCTCCACTGTCTTCCCAGGCCACAGCAGAGAGCTGGACTGGAAGAGGAGCAACCGGGACAGAACCGGCACCCCAACTGGAACTAGAGCCCGGGGTGCAGGTGCTGCAGGAGGAGGATTAGCCAAGTGAGCCGTGGCACCCGCCTCCCCATTGTGGTTTAAATATGTAATTGAATTTCTCCTTATGAAGCTTACAAAATACAAATAAAGATATGTATTTGTTCTGAAGTGAGCATTGGGGAATTTGATTTTGATATGCAGTGTATTATGTTTTTTATAGTGTCAGTCATTACTCTGTTTGATGTATACAGTGTTCTTAGATTGATGTGTTTAAAATTAATGAAGTATTTGCCCTCCTTGTGCATAATCTAATAAGGAAACTTCATCCCAGTGAATTATTTAGATAGAATTGAAACAAACCAATTTTATTTGGTAGTAGATATTGTCTGAATTCAAAACATTAGTATGAATTGTTATGTTTCTTGAAAAATAAGTAATTTCATAACACAACCAAATAAGTTAAATAAAATAAATAAAAAAATAAATAAAAAGAGCACTGATGGTAGGTTTTCATTTCTGGATCTTAAATTTGGTACAAAGTTCTCTACCTTGGGGGGGGGTAATTGATTGAATAATTAGTACTTACTAAGTATCTTCTATGTTGCAGATTCTATCTAGAATAGTTACTGGGTGACTCTTCATTCAAAGATCAGTAAGTATCTCTAATTTTCCCTCAGGTCATGATTTACCCACAAAAAACCACTTACATGTAGCTGGTAGATGACATAGTCAGTGAAGTTTGTAGTTAGCTTATTCTATAATTTTGTGTGGATTGGAAGAAGGAATGCACAAATTAGAACAAGTTCTTCCTTTGGAAGAAGTAATGATATTGCTAGACGCTTCAGATATGATGGCAGCTTTTGCTATGAAAAGGGCACCTTCTCTCCCTCCTCCTTTTTTTTCCTTTTCCTGAAAGATGCAGCCAGGACAAAGGGTTGACAAATGAAATTCTACGTGCATTTATGTTGTTATTCTCTCCATTGAGTACTTTTTTTGTGATGACAGACTGCATGATTGTACTTGTTAGCTCCATGGTTTATGGGTCGCACAGTGGGAACTCTAAGCAAGGAATTAGGCTAGAGCATATTTAGGGAGGGTGCCACACAGACTAGCATGAGTGTTAGAGACAATTCTTGACAACCACTGAAGCAACAAGCACTTTCAGAAGAGGGGAAAATATGGAAACATGGCACTTCCACTTTTTCATGGTAGCAAGAAATTTCAGTGGTCTGGACTAAAAGATTCTTAGATGGAAATGATATGAATTGTCCCTGGAAAGAAATACTGGATGTTTTGATGAATTTGGCCTAAGTAAAGGAATACTGGAATACATTTGGCAAAAAAATGAGGAAGTGACATAAAGGATAGTTGAATCACAAAACTTACTAGCACCACTTATGGGTAGAATCAAGACAATGCCACTGATAAATGCTTAGATTTGTAATATGGCAGATAGAGCTTGCTTCTTCATTGCAAAGACTGGAATATGTCAAGTAAGTTTAAATGACATCACTATAAATTAGAACTCAATGATCTATTTCAAATGTTTTCTATAAAGACCTATTCTGTGTACATTTCAAAAGTATTAGATAAAATACAATAATTAAGCAATCAAGTTATATAAATAATGAAAGTATATGAATACAAAATCAATCATTCATAAAACTGTACAAAAATTTTAATGGAGTGTCAGCTGCACACTGTCTAGCCTACAAAATTTGTGCATAACTCTGAGTACAATGCAACATAATAATTTTTGCATCAGTGTACTAGATTGCAGATACTTGTGAAATCAACATCATTTAAATATACAGGGGAAGGATTAAACTTTTGGTAGGAATGGCAGTTTTATAATTTCAGGATAATATTCGCTTTTCTTTAGTGCCTCCATAATAATAGCTTCACTATCATAATATCTGAATTTTGATTATTCATATAAAAACGTATCTTTTATAATAAATTTTTCATTTAGAATCTCCAAGTTCATTTATGTTAAAGATCAGTCTATTGTGGATCCAAACTGAAGTATAATCAACTCATCCCTCTTCAAACTCCCAAAATACTTGAGTATAGGATCCTGCAAAATGCAGAAAACTTAATTTCATCAGAAAACACCCCTGAAACTATGTATAAATTATTTTTATCAATATATTGTTATTCCCTAAGATTTATTCATATTATCTCTTTTTCCCCTTCTTTCCATTCATATGGAAAGTCTCTGCTTTTAGACTTTCCAGATAAGTTCATAATAAAGACAGGTTTGGGGACAATATTTGTCTCAATTATTTCCTGGTTCTCAGGCAGACTACTGACTGTGTACATCAATAAAGAGGATTTGATCAACTTTGTCATAAAAAGTAATCCATGATTTAAAAAATCACTTGATAAATGTAGGACTAATGAAAAGCTTTCCTAATTGCTTCTCATTTGTCTTGGAATGTAGTTTTCCGTATAGTTATAGATAGAAGTAGAATAGAAATATTTGATTAGCTTTAAGATGGTCATTATGTAAATACTAATTTTGTACTTCAGTCAGTAATAAATTGTTGAGCTTGAATGGATTGCATCTTGATTTTTAAGTTTGTAAGCCAGATATTTCATATACTATACCTCATTAGTAAAGTCAGTTCCTGTTATGTATATTGTCCAGGAAATTCTTTAAGAAACATTTTAATCTGAGATTACTTGGACTTCAAAATATAGAAAAATGCAGGGTCTCACAAAAGGAAAATGCCTGAGGTAAGCAAAAGTCACTGTTAGGGCTGCGTGGGAGGCCACACTTGACTCCACCAGGGGCACATGGGAGCCCAAGCTATTTCTTTCTGCCCCTTCTACCTCCTGAACTCATGTCAGCTGATTTAATTCACCTGTTCTTAACCTGAGACTATATACTCACCTGGGATTTGTTACAAAATACTGGATGCTTTTCTGAGTGAGTCTAAAGCTTTTTATCATGTTTTCACAGTAGTCTAGCTGCCTCTGAGACGAGAGAGACTGAGGAGTTTGGTGACTTAAAGAGTGCATGGTTATGTGGAAACTTGGAACCTCATGACTCATTTTTTGGTCTCCCTTCTGAGTCTTGGGGCAGTAGCAATAGGATCCAGCCAAAACCTCTCAGGACTAGGCTTCAAGGTTCTCTGTGGTCAAATCTACTTATCTTTTGTGTTTAGGTACTCTCTCCTAAAAAGGAATTTTCTAGAACTACCATACATGCTCATGCACTGAAGTTAGTGTAAAAACAATTGGTTTTGCCATAAGTTTAAATAATTTTAAAGGACAACGTTTCCTGTTTTAGTCAGTGTTGATTTTTTGACCATTTTTGTGTATGAAGTTCAGTGTCATTATTGCATTCACTTTGTTGTGCAAGTGTCACCACCATCCATCTCCAGAACTACCCAGTGTTAATGGACCCTGTAGTTCCACCCAATAGGAGTGCACCTTCCTTCTTGGTTTGGGGCTAGTCATGTTATTTTTCTTTATCTAACAAAATACAGACAGAAATGACTGTGTACTAGTTCCAATACTAGGACTTGAAGAGACTTCACATATTTATTTACCCTTTTGTATCATAGCTTTTTACATGAGGAAAACATTCTCAGGTGGACTGAGAAATAATATGAAGCTGCCCTAGACCAGATCTTCAGTTTTCAACTGGCCAGCTAAACACAGACTGAATCAGCTGAGACCCAAATGACTTCTTGATGAATGGCCATAATAAATACTGTTATACTTTTATATAACACACAGGTTTTTGTGGTTGGTTGTTACACAGCAGTAGATGACTTATACAGGTCTAAACTTGGTTTGTGGCAGTGGAGAAGGAGAAAATAATAAAAATCCTTCTCTCCTTATTGAAATACTTTCCATCTGTGAGTTATATGATATTATGCTCTGATGTACATTGTTCTCTTTCTCAGGCTGTTTTTTTCATTCATCTTTCTTTCTACCACTTATTTTAGAAATTCCACGGAGATCACCAGAGCCTTTCTTTTCTTGTCAGTTTATGTCCTGCCTAACCATTCTCATCTACTCATATGATTTCCACTCTTTATCAACAGTCAAAATTTGCAGTGTTGAATATTTTTTTTTCATCATTAAGTGTTATGTTAGTGGTGTAGTATTCCTTCTATATCTGTAGTTTCATTTTCCACAGGTTTAGTTAGACATGGTCTGAAAATATTAGAAGGAACATTTCAGATATAGAGATCACATTTATACAACTTTTATTACATTGTATTGCTATATGGTTTCCATTCTATTGTTGTTAATCTCTCATGGTTCTTAATTTATAAATTAAACTTTATATTTGGTATGTATATACATGTAGAGGAAATATAGTGTATATATAGGGCTCAGTGCTATCTGCTGCACCTGTTGGGTATCTTGGAATGCATCTCCTAGGGAGAAAGGGAAACTACCATAGGTTTTTATGGATGTCCTTAATTTGATAAGGAAGGTTTATTCATTTCTTATTTGCTTTTATTGATGACATGTGACATATGCTATTTTCCTACTTCATTCTGTTAACATGCTATAATAGATTAGCTTCTATATTTAAAACCAAATTAGCATTCATGGAACCAACTCCATATACTCATATTCTGTTTCATTTTAACCAAATTATTTTAAATGTTGTTTTTAGGATTTTTATATTAATATTCCTGTGAGATATTGGTCTATGATTTTTTTCTGGTTGTATGCTAATCAGATTTAGAATCAGTATTATGCAAATCTCACTAAATGAATTGGAAAATATTGTATTTTTCTCTATCTTTCAAAAATATAGAGGAAGAACAGTTTTGTTTTTTTTCCTGAAAGTTTTGAAAAAATTCACAAATGAAGCCAACTAGTCCTAGAATATAATTTTTTGGGAAAGTTTCTACATATGTATATGCATGTTTTTGAACCAACCTAGACCTATTCAGGATGTCCCTTTATTATTGTGTTAGATTTAATATTTTCCTATGTCAGATGTAAAGTTTGGTGTGCATTTCATTATGAGTATAAAATCTGTTGTTGTACATTTGTTCAGAGTATTTTGTAACTTTTGCCTAAGGGTCTGTTGTCATATCATATTTTTGTTCCTTAGATTGGTAATTTGGGCCTTCTTTTATTCCTAAAATTAGTTTTGCTCATATTTTTAAATTTCCTTATTCTTTTAAAATAACTTATTTTAGGGTCTTTTGCTTATTTATTGCAAATCTTCCTTCTGTCTCACTGATATCTGTTATTATCTGATTATTTTCTCACTTCTAGATTCTTTATCTTCATTTTGCAATTCATTCCAAACTTCTTAAAGTTGTGGTAACATTTCCAAATTTCCTCTGCTAGCTTGAAAAAATGATGTGTGTGTGTGTGTGTGTGTGTGTGTGATTACTTTTTTTCCTTGTAATTCAGCCTTCCCTTGCTATTACTTTCTGTATTCCTGTTGAGAAAGGGAAGCCCTTTTTTTCTTTTAATATGATGCTTTTTTTGTTAGTGAATGGCAACACCACTGAACTAGTTGAAAATCCAGATACCTGAAAGCATCCTTGAGATATTTGGTTCTCCTCTATCAATTCATGCATAACATCAGTTGTTATAACTATTAGCCTTATATCTTAAATATACTGTGACTCTATCCACATCCACTCAATATCTATAAAATCCATTTACTTTCTCTCTTTTACCAAGATGATCAAACAAGGTTTGAATTCATTTTCCTTACTTTTTTATTTTTGGGGCACATTTAGTTAGTAGAGTTATTTTTATTTAATAAGAAAAATGACTCCTCAGTGGGTTCCAATATTCTCAGGATATTTTCTAAATGGCAAAATCAAAACTCCCTCCCATACTGTAAAGTTCCTGCATGATTTTCCTTGGTCTGCTTTGCCATTCTCTTTTGCCATGCTTTCTTACGTTTGTGTTTCAGATAAAATAGCCTTTTCTTCCTCTTCTACCATGACACCATTCTCCTCTCCAAAGCTAGTTATTAGCATGAACTTTCTCCTATATTAGTGTGATTCTTTCCTTAGTCTTCTTAAGGTGTCAACTCAAAATCATTTCTTAAAGAAATTGCTCTTTGAATTTCCACACTTAAAAGAATTGCTCTAGAAGAGTAATTGCATTTTTTGGACAGCAGTTTTCCAAATGATAAACAAAGGAATTGATTTTTATATTCTAGTCCAAGGTACATGCCTTGAGAGTCAATTACATTTGAATGTTTACTCACTATGTTCCTAGTTTACAAAGATTCAAACATAGTCATATCCAATAAATGTAAAATATTTGAGTTAAGTAGATCTTTAAGAAAACTCACCTGGCCTGATGAATGAGGAATAAATACAAAAGAAAGATGATTTGAATTATAAGACATTTGAGAGAGGACTTTTTTCTGCCTCCTTGTATTTTATATTTATATCTTACAAATATTATAATATATAATTAAAATAATACTCAGTGGTATTTACTGATCATCCATGGTATGCTGCCACTATTTTTATTTATTTACTTATTTATTTATTTCTACTGAGAGAGATGAAGGGGTGTGTGTGTGTGTGTGTGTGTGTGGAGAGAGAGGGAGAGAGAGTGAGCAAGAGTGAGCAAGTAAGAGAGAGTGAGAGAGAGAGAGCAAGAGAGGGAATATATACAAAGAGAACTGAGAGCTCCCATTCTCTGGTTCATTCCCCAAATGCCCTCAATGGCCAAGACTGATGCCACATCCAGGAGCTGGGAATTCTTATTTCTCATTATTTTAAGTGGGGAAAAAATGTAAACTATTTCATGAAAACCCACCTCCCCAAAATTTGTTAAATTGTAGGTAAAATATAGAGAAATATCTATAAGTAATAAACTATCATGTGAGAATATTGAAAGCTTAAAACACAATATTCTAGCTGCTCAAAACTTGATAGTTTATTAATTGAAGATGCTTTATATATGACATTGAATGCATATCTGCTTTAATGGTAATTTTTCAAATTCTGTTTGTCTGATTCTGACATGCTAATATTTCTATCTGGGATGCAACTTAAGATTTTCTCAAACTTTTTAAAATTAAGATATGATATTGTACTGAGTTATAGAGATGAAAATTTATTTTTTCCCAATAAATATTGGCAAAAAATAGAACCAGGCATAACAAAAGTTGAAAAATGACTATATATGTGTGTGTGTGTGTGTTGTATATTACTTGAAGCTTGGAATAAATGCTTGGCAAAACTATATATATATATGTACTTATATAAGTATATGCTCATATTTCAAGGTAAATAGAAATTAAATGTGATTTCTATTTTTTCACAGCACTCCTAAACAATGTGCAATACTTTTAGAATGAACAGCCTCTGCCTGAGCCAAAATGTTTGAGTAAGCAATTTAAAAAAAATCCTATGATATTGAAAAGTGAATCATGTTAAAATAAGATAAAAGTTAGCAAGAAAGGATAACTAAAAACTAAGAAAACAGTCTTTGTGAATTTATGAGAAATTGCAGTCCTGAAGTCCTGTGGTAGGAAAAAGTGTTCATAGCCTAGCAAACCTGTCAGAAGGGAGCTGTGAAAACAGTAGTGAAATGCTGATGTTACAGTTTGAAGCCAAGTCAAAAAAGAAAAACAGCACTTTAACCACTTTTGACAATAAAATAAACATTTTTAATGATATGTCTTTTTTCACCTCAAGTCTTTCTCACCTAGAAAGGAGAAACGCTCCAAAGCTCTTACAGTAAGCATAGAAGGGAATAATTACATTACTAGTATGCAGTGAAAGCAAAGGATGAGTTTATTGTTACACAAGCTTATATCCTCTCGATTTTCAGGGACCCCAGAAAGAAGTTTTTACGTAAATAATGATAGGAAGTCCTAAGTGCTGTGATACTTGGTCTCATCATTGGTATTATTAATTAATATCTCAAGCATTAGGACTGCTGTGAATTTTAAATTAGATTAAAATTATTTTACCTATATAATGACAAATTCCCAAGGAGATTTTAAGACCTGTTTGACAGATCAAAGGTGATGATTAGATGTTCTGTCTGGCCCTGTTACTCATTTCCCAAGAGATTACCCAAAATGGTTCTTGCATAATAAGCTGCTTTTTGACTTATAGCCTAATAAATGTAGTTTTGATGTAGACATTTGTGGTGATCTCAATTCATTCTTTAACCACATAGCATTTCAGTATACATTTAGGACACTCCTACCTACAGTTCTTAGCTGACAGTATTTGAGTGTATCTCAGTTTTGGCTCTCTGAATGTAATTGTCTAATTCTTTGAGGTAATCTTTAAAGATTTCCCCAAAATGAAAAATTCATAAATTTTATGCATGTTCTAATGTTAATTAAAATTTCTTTATTTTTTATCATATGATACCTGGACAGGTAGACAAAATCATTTTATTTGCTATATGTATTTGATTTCATTTGAAATTTGGTTGAGATCCAAGGTTTGACATTACCAGGTCATTCATAGCAAGATTATTTTTTCATATTTTCTTTCCTTCATAAACAATTTAACTTTGGAACTTTTGGAATTCTGAAGTTGCCAGTGTTCCCAGAGGCTTTTCAGAATTGAGCTGCTTTATGGACCCTGTATCTCCTTGCTCCCTCTTCACTTATTAGCCTTCTGAGCTGCTATATCTGAGCTGCTGCTATATCCATTCCTACATTTATGAAACAGAGACCTGTAATCTTAATTATCCACAGGTAACCACAGTCAAGTACAACGAACGAAGCCATCCATAAATAATTATGGAAACCAGACCGTGAAGTAGTATATTCATACCTGAACAGCAATGTTCTTGAGGCTGATTGCATGAGCACATTTAGAAGACTGGAGATTTTCAGCTATGAAAGAGAACTTCGGACTAGTGTACCCCAACTCATCTGCACCTGCCTCATTCTGCCTTTAAATAAAGTTAAGCAAATCACCATGTACTTTTTTTTTTCTTTAAAGCAAGCCAAATCAGTAAGAATTAACTATTAAGTTTCTAATAAAGATAAGGTTTGGGAAGGGAAGGGAAGTAAAGGTAAAGACAAAGAAAGGGGCAGGGAGAGAAAATAGAAATTAAATAGCTTTCCTTGCCATGTATTTTTCTTTTTGTAATAACTCATAGTTGATGCTTACAAAATGTGTATGAGAAGGAAGCTTAGCTTTCTTTAAACTAAGTGCAGTGTCATAGCAAGTGAAATCACTGCATGCGTTTCTGGCATCCCTTACGGGTACTGGTTGAGTCCTGGCTGCTTTACTTCCCTGCTAATGCACCTGGGAAAAGAAGTAGAAGACAGTCCAAGTGCTTGGGCCCCTGCACTGATGTGGACGACCTAGAGGGAGCTCCTAGCTCCTGACTTAAGCCTGGCCATTGTGGTCATTTGGGGAGTGAACCAGTGGACAGAAGTTGTCTCCGTCTCTCTGTCTCTCCCTCTCTCTCTGTAACTCTGCCTTTCAAATAGATAAAATAAACCTTTTTAAAAAGTAAAAAACTACATGTCAGGTTTTTTTGGATAATGTTTTTACTCATGGGCTTCAGATAGAGTAACATATTGTAGTTGGGGATGGGCTTCATTTGAAGATGAACAGGGATCTTTACTTAGAAATCTTTCAGTAATCCATAATGAAACTATACAGTTTCCTAAGGCTGCTTTTATTCCTTCATCTCACCAAAAGACAAAATCCTTCGTTAGTCCTTTCAGATATCTTGGTAGGAGATTTAAGGCTTTATGTGAGCAAGTCAATACTTTCTTTTGAACATCTTGCTGATAAGTCTTCCTTAGGAGACACTTGATTAGGCCTGAATTTGAACAAAAAGATTCATCAAACCCACCTCTGGGTTTCTTTTATTTGAAACTCTGAAATTTCATATAAGTTGGTGAAATAAGCTTTTTATTCCTTTTTATAAAGGTTATTTGGACTTAAATGTCACTTTTATGGATTTTTTTTATTATAACCAAAGGTAGTTGTCTTAGAGAAAAAAAAAGAACCTTGACTTTTATACTTAAGATTTCATTTGCTTCAACTTATACTTAAGAACCTCTTGCAAATATTCTATAAGAAATTACTTGATGAATTTCTAGTATCAGAATGAGTAAGAGGATTTTCTATAGGCTAAATGATATTTTGAAATTAAAATATTTTAGTATGGAAAAGTAAAATCTCTCAATTAACCAATTTTAATCAAACCTACCTCTTAATTTTCAGTAGTAAGGTCTAGATAATTTTAGTTTGGTAGAGTGTGATGAGAGTAGTTTTTAAAGTTTTCTCTTGAGGATATGTCATAGACCATTTTTACATGCACAAAATTAAATATGTATATACCACACCTATGACAAATAACGTTTGTTTCTCCAGAAAATAATGAGATTTCCAGATCTCCTCATAATTCTTTTTCTCAAATGCCACTGCAGAAAATTTTAATGAACTCTGAGGGCCAGTGTAATGTTTGATCACATATTTCTGTACAATAGAATCATGATACTTCTTAGCCATTCTTACTCATCTTTCTTCTTTTTGTGTGTTCCTATGTGTTTGAAATATCTGAATTTGATATCGTGACAGTATTTCCCCAATTTTGTCCATTTAAATACATTAAATAAATATAAGCCAAATCATTTCTAGAGAATCTAAGACTAGCTATTTTGACTACCAGCTAAAGTATACATAACTCATAAATTAAGGTGTTATATAATTTAAAGATCATTTATGACAGGAGAACACATCTTAAGCATTTAATGTAGAGAATCTAAGAAGTTAAGGCTTAGATGTGCCTTACTTCTGCTTCCCTAATTTACAATCAGGACACTTTCTGTAGAAAGTGTTTTTAGTTTCTACTACATGTCATTAAAGTTTATTTTGTTGTCAAGAAGTCGTTGATGTGATCACAGTAAGAGAATTCTTTCATGTGAACTATTCACAAGTTACTGGCAACTTCTTTCATGTTCTTTAAAATAAAACATCTAATGGGAAAGAATTTTAGCCTACTTCTTATTTTCAAAAATTAGAATGCTTAATAAAATTTATTTTTGGAAAATATTTATATTTATAGAAAAATATTAAAAGGTACATTATTCTACATACCCAGTTTTCCTTACTTCCTTATTTTCAATATCTTACTATGTAAGATGTATGTTTTACAATTCACAAAACAATGTTAGTATTAATGGTATTAACTTCTGAGGTCATACTTTATTCAGATTTTCTTATGTTTTACATATTCCAATCTCAGGTATTTTACTTATTCTAGTGTACTATCCAAGATACTGCATTTCATGTGGTTATCCTGTCTCCTTAGAGTGCTAAAATTTTCATACTGTCCGGTTTCCTTATTTAATGACCTTGGCAGTTTAGGAGTAGTAGTTATGTATTCTGTAGAATGTCCTTCAAGTTTTTACTGATTGTTTTTTGTGATCCTTCTTGGAAGGAAAACTACAGAACTAAAATGCCATTATACCAAGGGATGTATTATCTGCCTGACGTTTTATTGTTAATGTTAACCTTAAGCTCCTTCTCCATTCTAAAGTTATTTGCTCTCCTATCATGTCATATTACATACCCTTTGGAGAAAGTTACTTAGCACATATTTAAGCATTTATTTGTTTTGCTCTGGCTCTTACATTAATTATTTGGAATTCTGCACTAGAGATTTGTCTTTTCTCTTCCACTTATTTATTGAGCCAATAACTTATGTAAGTATGGATTTATGTATATTATTTTATGATTTTCAGTTCAGTACTTCTCTAGTCTATTTGCTTGAATTGTTCCAGGTTTGGCCATTGATAGCTCTTTCAGCTGGCTCTAGTTTTCTCACTAGGATTTCCACAATATTTTTCGTTTTTTAATACTCCGTTTCTGGCACTACAAGCTGCTCCATGATTGCTTTTGTGTATTTCTTGCATGTTGGCTATCCAATGTTTGCTGGTTACTTTTGTGGTAAGATACCATTAGAAACCAAGATCTGGGGCGGTGCCGTGGCTCACTTGGCTAATCCTCCGCCTGGCACCCCGGGTTTTTGTCCCGGTTGGGGCACCGGGTACTGGTCCCGGTTGCTCCTCTTCCAGTCCAGCTCTCTGCTGTGGCCTGGGAAGGCAGTGGAGGATGGCCCAAGTGCTTGGGTCCCTGCACCCGCATGGGAAACCAGGAGAAGCACCTGGCTCCTGGTTTTGGATGGGCGCAGCGCTGGCCGTAGTGCCCATTATGGGGGTGAACCAACGGAAGCAAGACTTTGCTCTCTGTCTCTCTCTCACTTTCTATAACTCTACCTGTCCTCCCCCCCCCCCAAAAAAAAAGAAACCAAGATCTAAGAGCTAATGCATCAATCATTCTAGCCTTTTCTGCTTGTTTAAATGTAAATTCTCATTCTCTGTTGGACTACCAACCGCCTTCCATTTGCTTACTCAATTCCAATATAGAATTACGGTAGTGTCAGAATTCTCAATCTGAAGAATTGATTATTTTAATCTAATTATCAAGCATTGGACATATTGTTCTCTTCCCTCTTCTTCTTTCTTTTAATAGTTCCTGGCATCAATAAGAATTATTCTTCTTTAATGTCCTGAAATCAATAATTTTCAGCTTTCTCTTTTTTTGTGTGTGTTGTCTTCTTATGCATTTGTTGACTTCATTGATCTCATTAAGAAATCAGCATTTGATATCATTATGGTTAAATATTGAATTTGGTTTTAGTTCAATGGTATATGTTCTATCTTCTTCTACTTGTTCAGCATTTACATTGCTCTTCTTTCACTATTGTTCTAAGGTGTAAGCTTATAGACTATTGAGTTTAGAGTGTGTTTAGTATGAGGGTTCTTAAAAATGTTCATGGAAAATATTGAAAAAAAGGCATGGATTTCAAATTATTTTGCACCAAAGTATACTTTCTAACTGCATTTTCCAAAAACCTTATGAAGTACCCTCATGCATAAATTTAGCACTACAAATTACCTTATAAGCCCTGTTTTCATTGCATTCCACAGATTTTGGCAAATTGTATTCTCATTTAATAAATAAATTTTTAAATTTGACTTGAGTGGCTGGCGCCATGGCTCACTAGGCTAATCCTCTGCCTGTGGTTCCGATACCCTGGGTTCTAGTCCCGGTTGGGGCACCGGATTCTGTCCCGGTTGCTCCTCTTCCAGTCCAGCTCTCTACTGTTGCCCGGGAGTTCAGTGGAGGATGGCCCAGGTCCTTGGGCTCTGCACCCACGTGGGAGACCAAAACACCTGGCTCCTGGCTTTGGATTGGTGCAGTGTGCCGGCCGCAATGCACTGGCCGTAGTGGCCACTTTGGGGGTGAACCAATGGAAAAAGGAAGACCTTTCTCTCTGTCGCTCTCTCTCACTGTCTAACTCTGCCTGTCAAAAAAGAAAAAAAGAAAAAAAAATTGACTTGAGTATTATCTTTGACTATTATTTTGTAGTGTGTGTTTAATCTTCACGTATTTGTATTTTGTAATATTTTCTCTTATTGATAGCTTAATCAGATTATGGGCTGAGAATGCTCTCAGTATCATTTCTAGCCTTTTAACTTGAAACTTTTTTCATAGCTCATATCTTCTATCTTTGTGAGTGCTCCATATGAGCTTGAAAAAACGACATTACTGTTGTTGGAAGGAAAGTATTATATAAAAACAAATTGAATTTATAACATATAAGCAATCCATTGTCATAGTGCAGTATATACTACTCTTGCACAGCATTAAAATAAGAGAATTTAATAATAATAAGAGACAATATACTTTCATCTCAAGTCTTTGGTGCTAGTCTAAACTCTTCTGTTCTTCGAGGAAAGGGCATGATTTTTTTATCAGGTAGACATTCTCCTGGACAAAGATAAAATTTTAATTCTCTAAGATTAAACAATTTTGAGCTTGAGCCAGAATTCAGTAATATCCTATTTCCCTTCCTCCAATGTGTAGTTCTTCCTATAAGTAAGCAGCTGCAATTCCTGTTGGAGAAA